TGGAAGGATCGCCGGAGCCCAGCAGTGAGGATGCGGTGGCCGGGAGCGGCCACTGCACTCCAGTCTGGGCGACAGAGTGAGACTCCAACTCAAAAAAAAAAATTTTTTTAAATCAGCTGGGAGTGGTGGAGCGCCTATAGTCCCAGCTACTCGGGAGGCTGAGGGGAGAAGCTGGCTGTGTTCTCCCTAGCCGGGTGATGTTCTCCTCCCCTCTGCACCTGCCTGGAGGGGGAATTCGACACTGCGGGAATGGATAGGGGAGACACAGGCAAAGGGTCAGGAAAGTCTCAGGGTCCTGCACAAGAGACAGTGAGGACCATCAGAGGGCAACAAGACACCCAGGAGGCTCTGGATCCCTGGAAGCCAAATGATGGGGGGAGAGGGGGCTGGAGAAAAGCCTTGGAGAAGAAGAACACAGCACAGCAGGGCAGGTGGCTGGGGGTGGGTGTGTTAGCAGGGGACAAGGTTGGGGTGCACACCAGCTTGTAGGAGAGCGAGGATCGTGTGAGTGGTGAGGAAGTGGAGGCTGTGTTTGTGGGAGATTCCTCTTTGGGGAAGTTCTCTAGGCCCGGTGCAATAGCTCAGGCTTGCAATCCCAGCATGGAGGCTGGAGGGTCACTTGAGCCCAGGAGTTCGAGACTAGCCTGGGCAACACAGCAAAACCTTGTCTCTAAGAAAATTGAAAAGTTACCTGGGTGTGGTGGTGCATGCCTCCGGTCTCAGCTAGTTGGGAGGCTGAGGTGGGAGGATCACCTGAGCCCAGGAGGTAGAGGTTGCAGTGAGCTAGGATTGTGTCACTGCACTCCAACCTGGGTGACAGAGTGAAACCTCACCTCAAAAAAAAGTTTGCTGCCAAGAGAAAGGGAGGAAAAGAGGATGACACCTTGAGATTTGAGCTTAAGCGGGGAAGAAAAGGTGTGAGAAAGGGTGTGATTGCTGGAATGGTGTGCAAAGGAGGTGAACAGGGCACCGGGGGAGGGGAACCTTGACAAGAAGACACTCTCTTCTCTGCGGGAGACACAGCAAGACGCAGCCACCGGTCACAGGGTACCTGTACTTGGCAGGTGATTCACATGTGTTACCTCATTTATTCCTCCCCAGACCTCAGGGAGGTGGGTGTAATTATCTCCATTTTCCAAATGGGAAAGCTGAGTCCAGAAGAGAAGTTAATAACTTGCCCCGTGTCAGAGGCTTAAAAACTAGGTCTAGCCCAGGTGTGGTGGTCCAAGCCTGTCCTCCCAGCACTTTGGGGGACCGAGGTGAGAGGATGGCCTGAGCCCACGCGTTCAAGACCAGCCTGGGGAAATTGCGAGATCTCATCTCTACAATAAATCAAAAATCAGCCAGGCGTGGTAACTCGTGCCTGTAGTTCCAGCTACTTGGAAGGCTGAGGCGGAAGGATCGCCGGAGCCCAGCAGGTCGAGGCTGCGGTGGCCAGGAGTGGCCACTGCCCTCCAGTCTGGGCGACAGAGTGAGACTCCAACTCAAAAAAAAATTTGGTCAATTTTGTGTTTTTCCCCCCTTGAGGGAAGAAAGAAAAGGAAGATGACAAAGGCACTAAGAGAATTAAAGGTGGCCAAGGGGGAAGTTATGGGAACTTAGATCATTCGGCTCTCATAAAGTTTTTTAGGTTTGTTTTTATTTTGGGTTTTTTTTTTTGAGTCGGGGTCTCACTCTGTTGCCCAGGCTAGAGTGTAGTAACATGCTCATGGCCACTGCAGCTTCGACCTGCTGGGCTCAGGCGATCCTTCTGCCTCAGTCTTCCAGGTAGCTGGAGCTGCAGGCGTGTGACACGACGTCCAACTCATTTTTTTATTTTTATTGTTGAGACGCGGTCTCGCCAAGTTGCCCAGGCTGATCTCGAACCCCCGTGCTCAGGCAGTCCTCTCGCCTCTGCCTCCCAAAGAGGTGGGATGACAGGCTGAGCCTCCTTGCCCGCTGTCATTAATATCTCCCATGGTGCTCTCTAGAGAGAGAATTATTATCCTCCTCCTGGAAGTACACAGACCGTGTGGCCCCAGAGCCCACACTGGCTGCTCACACCCACTCCCGCCTGCCCTGTGGGAAGCCAGGAGCAGCCCGAAAGGGACTGAGTGTGATGCAATGTCGTGTCGTCCCCCACCCCCCCGCCCAGGATCCTCCAAGCAGGCCTGGAAGTGGAGCGCCTCTCCCTCAGGAATTTCTTCCATCACTTCCATTCCAAGCGAGGCATGTGGAACCGCCGCCCGGTGAAGACGCTGTAGTCCTGAGGAGTGGCCCGCTGGACTGACCACTTCCCGCTCCTTGACTTGCTGTGGCTCCCCAGGGCCCCCGCTCGCCGCTCGGGACAGGGGGGAGGGAAGCAGAGCGATGGCTGCACCCCGAGGCCTTGGAGCGGACGCCCCGGCCACCGGGAGCTGTCCTCTCATGGAGACGGGGGCCGAGGTCCCCCTCCCCACCCCCCGGGCCTCCAGGAGGGAGGACTTTGGGAGAGAGGCCAGGAGGGGCCGCTGGTTCCAGGAAGGACAGGTTGCAGGAGGCGAGACCGGCTGGAGCCATTCCGTCCTTAGCCTCGAAGGCGCATTCCAGCATCCACCCAGGGCTTCCCCCGGAGCCTTGACCCCCAACTGGACACTCTGCTAGTGGACTTCTTTTCTTGGGGGTTTTCATTTTTTCTAACCGAAAACCAACACTGCTGCCCAGACGCGGCATTGACGGAGAGGAGCGTGAAACTGTGCGTTGAGGGACTGTCCCCACTTGCAGACCTCAGGCCCACACCTGCGTCGAGGTGTGTCCCTTGGGCACTGGCCCTTCCCGAGGAGCTGGCCCCACGTGGGGCAGTTCTCCATTCCACCCAGGCTTGTGCCTTCCAGAGACACACACATCTCTCCGCAAGCTGGCACCGATGCGGACACCTCTCTCCCGGTGGCCACCACAAGCTGGCACCGATGAGGGCATTACCCTTCCCCTGCCGGTGACGCTTACTTCCAACTGGAACGGGCAGCGTATTCCTGCCATGGCAGCGGGTGGGAGGTGGGGAACGGGCGGTGGGGTCAGCGGGCTCTGCGTTCCCCGCGCTGGGCAACCGAGCCCAGCAGAAGGGGCAAGCGGGGAGGCAAGGGAGAAAGCCTCCTCCCTCCCTGGCCTGCCTGCGGGGAGAGGACGGGGAGAAGCAGGATGGGGTGGGGACCTATGGGTCCGTTTTCCTTGAATGAGAAGAGAAGGCGGAGGGTCCGGCAGAAAGGGGTGAAAGGGAAGTGGAGACCGAGTCACCATCCAGTCGCCCTGCGGGAAGAGCTCCGGCCTCCCGGCCCTGCCTGGAAGAAGAGGAGAGGTGTGTGTGGGTGAGACCCCGGCCTGGGGACCAGGCCTGGGGACCAGGGAGCCGCGTGGGGCAAGAGGCTTGGGGAGGTGAGGCTATCACCCGAGATACCAACCCCGAGTGGAAGGGAGCAGGGGCAGGTTGAACTGGAAAGCGAGCGGTTTCAGGGAAAATGACCCTTGGCCTTCGAAGGCTATGTCCCCTCCTGTCCCCCGCCATCACACTCTCCTGCATTCAGAATCCCCGGGTGCTTCTGTGGCTGGGGGCTTGGCGGCTGCCCCCGTGGCTGCTGTGAACTCATGATGGTGCGCTGGGTACTGAGCCCGCTTGGGGAGGCAGCCCAGAGCCTCCTGCCGCGAGGAAGGCCTCGTGGGAGGCCAGGCTCAGTGGGTGGAGCTGGAGGGTCAAGCCGAGGGCTCTGCACTCCCGCTTCTGGGGCTTGAGGGGCATCCCCGCCCTCAAGGAGCCGGAGGGGCCGTGAATAGGCAGTGGCTTCTGAGTGCCATCCCGGCTCCCCGGGCTGTTGCCTTTTCTGGTGCCTGCTGAGGCCTCCGGGGCGTAGGCTGGGGCTGCCGTTGGCCAGCCGGGCTGCCACCCTTCTCTCCTGGCGTGGCACCGGAAGGCTGGAGCCAGCCCAGAGCCCTCCTGCTTCCCCTCCAACAACTAGGAGCCAGCCCGCCCTCCCGCCCCGCCATGCCCGGCCCGTGCCTTGTGTCTGATGTTTGTTACCTCCACACCACCTGCCTTAAGAGGAAGGGCCTGGCACGGCCCTGACTCTGCTGGGAAGCGTCTTGAGGATGCCGGAGGGTGGGGGGGAAGGGAGGCATTAAATACAGCATCTTCTTAGAAAACCACAAAGGTTCTTGTGTTTTCCTGTTGCCCTTCCTGGGGGAGGGGGTGGGCCGAGGGGCCCGGGTGGCCGTGCCAAGGTGCCAAGGGCCCTCCCCCAGCCCGCTCCATCCTTTGTCGCTGGTTCGGTCCCCCCTGTGGGAGACAGCCTTCTCTGCTGTGGTTTGCTCAGGAAGGGGACGGCATCGCTCCTGAGAGTAGACCAGGCATTTTCTGTTCAGCGGATTCACGGAGGTGGGTGATTTCCGTTGAGAAAGGCTGTGGACCCCTGGTGAAGAAGGCTAGACAGACATAGGCCTGGTGGGGTTTGGCCGGCAGCAGGGAGAAGCTTATTCTTTTGTTTTGTTTTGAGTTGGAGTCTCGCTCTGTTGCCCAGGCTGGAGTGCAGTGCGCACGGCCTCGACCTGCCGGGCTCCGGCAATCTTCCCGCCTCAGCCTTCCAAGGAGCCGAAACTACAGGCGCGCGCTACCACGCCCGGCTGATTTTTTGATTTATTGTAGAGATGAGGTCTCGCCAGGTTGCCCAGGCTGCTCTCCAACCCCTGGGCTCAGGCAGTCCTCTCACATGGCCCCCAAAGTGCTGGGATTACAGGTTTGAGCCACCGCACCCGGTGAGAGGAGCTTATTCTAAATAGCAGATGGGGTGCAGTGCCTCATGCCTGTAATTCTGGCACTTTGAGAGACTGAGGCAGGAGGATTGCTTAGGGCCAGGGGCCTGGGCAACATAGCAAGACCCCGTCTCTACAAAAAAATAATAAAACAGCAGATAGTCTCAAAGTCATTTCTATTTGACTGAGGGTGCTCTGCTGATATGTTTACAGGTGTAAATTTACCTTCTTTTTAAAATTTTTTTATTTTTTTGAGTCGGAGTCTCACTCTCTCACCCAGGCTGGAGTGGCACACTCCTGGCCACTGCAGCCTCGACCTGCTGGGCTCAGGTGATCCTTCCGCCTCAGCCTTCCAAGTAGGTGGAACTACAGGCACATGCCACCACACCCGGTTAATTTTTTGATTTATTGTAGAGATGGGATCTCACCAAGTTGCCCAGGCTGGTCTCAAACCCATGGGCTCAGGCAATCCTCTCACCTCGGTCTCCCAAAGTGCTGGGATTATAGGTGTGAGCCACCATACCCAGCCTCAAATTGAACTTCTTAGTTATATTTGACCTGGGCAAAGGTCGAAACTTGTTTGTAGGTTTGTAGTCCTTACACACATGCTTAAGAGAAGCTGATCATGTAAAGGCTAGACTACACAACAGTTCTTTTATTTTATTTTTTTGAGTCGAGGTCTCACTCTGTCGCCCAGGCTGGAGTGCAGTGGCATGGTCACAGCTCACCGCAGCCTTGACCTCCTGGGCTCAGGAGATCCTTGTGCCTCAGCCTCCTGAATAACTGGGACTACAGGTGCATGCCACTGCACCCATCTAATTTTTTTATTTTTTATTTTGTAGAGATGAGGTCTGGCTATGTTGCCCAGGCTGGTCTTGAACTCCTGGGCTCAGGCAGTTGACCCTTCTGGGCCTCCCAAAATGCTGGGACTACCAGCGTGAGCTACCAAGCCCGGCCTGATAGTGGGTTCTTACAGAGGACTGTGTATATATGCATTGACCAAAATGGCCTAATCTACGCTTTATGGAAGATGATGGTAAGCTTAAGACATCAGGGCCAGGAAAGTTGACTCAGAGCAGAGAGCATTCCCTCAAGACAGGGAGAGACTTAAAACCCTCTCACCCTCCAGACCTGGGCTCTGCTCCTGGGACCCCTTTCTCAGACGCAGATGGAGACCAACCTTCGGGGCTGAAGACAAAAAGATTGACTCAGTGCATTTGCAGAAGCCTTTATGGATAGAAACCACTCCATTTTACAGGAAGGGAAAACTGAGGCCTGCGGCAGAAGGAAGGAATAGGGTAGAGTCAGAACCAGAGTCCCTAAGCTGGGTGGCCTGGGCCTTAGGCAGACACACCTCAGGCTCAGGAGATGCCACCAGGCAGGTACGGCTGGCGGTACCGGCGTCTGAGCTCAGGACGCCAGAGCAAGGTGGAGTTCACTTGGACCAGCAGAAAAAGAGCACATCTCAATTCGGGCGCTGTGGGTAGGGAGCGAGGGTGTCCACGCCGCCCTTTTAGAAGCTCTGCGGGGGCGGTGGACGGTGCCGTGAGCCTGGCGGGTCAGCGAGGAGAGAGGCTGAGGCCGGGCTGGACCCAGTCGCTGTCGGGGGAGCAGAGAGAGGCCGTGAACCCAGATGGGCGATCCCAAGTGAGATGCAGATGCCGGCCCTGGATGCGTCTGGCAATCCCAGTGAGATGCAGATGCCGGCTCAGGAAGCCTGGAGTCGGACCCGTGGCCCTGTAAGCCCCCAGCGGTGGTGTGGTCCCGCTGGCCCTCGGACCCTAACCTGAGTAGCAAGGACTGCCAGACAAAGCAGGGAGAAAGTCCACCCTTCCTCTGCAGAAGCATGGAGCCAAGCCCCACAGCATTGCTTCTCACCCCACCCCAGGCCAGGGGACCATCGGCTCCGACAGCCAAGGAGTCACCTGTTAACAGACCCTGGGGGCTTTGGGCAGGCCTCACGGAGGCCCCACCCAAACTCTTGCAGGTGCCCTCCTTGCTCCTTGCTTGACAGGCCTTCCCCTCCTGCTCAGCGAGGGATTGGTCTCTTTAAGTCAGAGTCTCACTCTGCGCCCAGGCTGGAGTGCAGCGGCACGCTCACGGCCACTGCAGCCTCCACCTGCTGGGCTCAGGCGATCCTTCCGCCTCAGCCTCCCAAGTAGCTGGGATCACAGGTGCATGCCATCATGCCCGGCTGATTTTTTTTTTTTTTTTG